CTAAAGGGTGCTGAGGGATGCTGGGGTTTGGTTGGAGGGGAAGAGGAAGGCAATGATCTTGGGGCAATGATCGTTATCTTGCGCATATTGTGAGAAGTTTGAGGTGGTGGACGAGGCCTACGCATGTGAGTGTGCTAGGAGATTTGTTGGGGAGCCAGTGGGTTACGGATGGGGAGTTTAGGAAGAGAGCCGGGAGGTATTGGGGGGTTGTTATGAGGGGGTTGGAGAAGGTGCCGGATAGGGTGTTTGGTGCTGTTGAGGTGGAGGGGTTAGAGTCAGTGGATCAAGATATTGAAAAAGATGAAGTTGCGGCGGAGGCAGCAGTAGACCAAGATAATGAGAAGGTGTCGAAGAAAGATTCAGACATCGCGAACGAGGGGGGGATTATAACGGAACAAATTAGCGAGAAGGCCTCAACAACAAATCTAGACATGGAAAAAGAGGAGAAGGTTATAGTGGAGCCAGCAACGGACCCAGATAGCGAAGATGCGGAAACGACACCAGCTGAACCACTATCAGATTCAACAATAGAGCAAGACAGTGATTCGGCAGAAGAGACATATCCAGAGCAACCAACAGAGGAGGGAAGCGAGGAAGAAGAAGAAGAAGAAGATAAGAAGCCCCCGAGAAAGGTATTGTGGGGTGGCACAACCGAAGTACTTGGCGCAGACAAGAACTGGGCGAAGCGTGTCATCAATATAGCTGGAAACCATGATATTGGCTATGGTGGAGATATCGACGAGTCACGGATTGAGCGATTTGAACGGGCATTCGGCAGCGTCAACTGGGATATATGGTTCACCCTACCAGATGAGCTACGCCAGAACAGCACCAACCCGTCGATACAGAAATCTAACACGCCACCAACTCTCCGCCTCGTGGTCCTGAATACCATGAACCTGGATACGCCCGCCTGGTCTAGTGAGCTTCAAACCGAAACCTACGACTACCTGAACCATGTCATAACCACATCTCTCCCAGTTGATGACAAAACGCATGCTACCATTCTCCTCACTCATATTCCACTTGAAAAGGAGGCCGGGATATGCGTAGACAGCCCATATTTTGACTTTTTTGAAAATGGTGGGGGTCTGAAAGAGCAGAATATGCTATCATACCACGCTAGTAAGATTGTCTTGGAGGGAATGTTTGGGATGACTTCAAACAAGGACGCCGCAGGCCAGGGACTCGGCAGACGCGGAATCATCATCAATGGTCATGACCATGCAGGCTGTGACGTTGTGCATTACATCCGGCAACCCGGCGTAGAGGATGTGTGCCGGATCGAAGACGTGAAGAGCGATGAGGTGTACTGGCCAGCCAACGACACCATGATCGCTACTTCTATGGACATTGATGGTGTTGATATCAATATCGTCATCGCCAACAACACCTACATCGAGTCCGATCAAACAGAATCCACGTCCGAGTCCGAGTCTACCCCAGAATCTTCACCTGAACCAACGGCTGAGACCGCTCCAGAGCCTTCAGAGTCCCCACCACCCAAGTGGCGTGCTCGTCGATTCCCACACCGCCCTTATGAAATTACCCCGCCAAACAAGTGTACCAGGATCGAGTCCACGCCGCACATTCGAGAGATCACGCTCCGCAGTATGATGGGCGAGTACTCGGGTTACGCCGGATTTCTGTCTGCATGGTTCGACCAGGACAAAGGCGAGAAAGGAGAGTGGGTACTCGAGTTCAATACCTGCGGCGTTGGTATCCAGCATTGGTGGTGGGGTATTCACATTGTTGATCTGGTCGTGGTTCTCTGTTTGTTCGCAGCAGGCATCGCAGCTACAGCTGAGAAGTTGGGCATTGACAAGCTCATGTTTGCGAAGGTGGCGGAGCCGGAAAAGCGGAAGGTGATCCAGAAGGAGAAGCAGATGAGGGTAAACAGCGGCGCACGTGGATTGACTGTTTCGGCTACGGAGGCTGCGATGCAGAAGATGTAGTTCATCAGATGCGTATAGCCGGATCATTTTTCCTTGTCGCAATCGCTGTACCTGTATCATGTGAAAGGTTCTACTGAGATAATGCAATGCTAGCGCCCTTCAACGTCCCGCCAAGCTATCAGGAGGACTACGCACTCGTTTGCTTCACATCAGTTGGACTTCGCAATTTGACCTGTCACATTAGCTCTTCTTCTCAGCTCAACGCTAACTTGTGGCCTGAGAAGCTATCAGGAGATCCACGCATCCATTTACTTGATGTCAGTCCCCCTTAGGCCGACATGCACTTGTGTCCCGAGGCCCATATATTCGTTTGCTCGATGTCGGTAGGACACCGCAATCCATCCTTCCAGATCAGCTCCTTCTCTTTGCGCTAAGTCTACTTGTGTCCCGAGGAGCTATCATGAGATCTACGCATCCGTTTGCGCTATGTCAGTTCGACACCGCAATCCGTCCTCTTACCGTCCACTCACCTCAGCCCCTGCCCCAACCTATCACGCGCATATGCTCTCCTCCAATACAAGAGCGGTATAAGAGCAGTCTGCCCTCGCCCATCCCTCTCACTTCACGATCCAAGGCCGTTTACCTCGCATCCCTTGCTCGTTTACCTTGCTCCTCCGGAAGACTGGAAGGCGCGCTTTGGGCGTTGAACAGCGAATGCCAGATTGCGCTCTTTCCCTCGCTCCCTTTCTGGGGGGCGGCAATCGATCGGCAAGTTTGTTTCCTGCTCAGTCTGACCTTGGGCGTGTATATAAAGACTGCTTCTGCCCCCCTCTTGTATATCATCCTCTCTCACACACATCCTCTACTATACATTCCTAACTCACTCTCTTTATTCAAAATCTCAACCTTACCACGAACAAGACCTTTCAAAATGTCTCCGGCTCCCACATCTACTCCTTCTACATGGACACCCAGCATGAAATACCTACCAGGTCGAGACCGCACCCACAATCATGAGCGGACTCTACTGGAGCAGTACGCAGACGAGTCGATTGTTACCTTCTGGCGAACTTTCAAAGGCAAGCCGGCAAATTACAACCATGACATTGACGTTGCTACCACGGTCAAGATCTCCAATGCCATCGTAAGACCCCTCCCTTCCTCCCACCTTTCTCCTGTCAAGAGCTCCTGCTAACCTCTCTTCTCTTCTTAGGACCTTGTCGATGCCAACCCCCATGTACTTAGCCAGGTGATCTGGGGTCTTACCCATCCTAATGACGTACACCATGGTGTTCAAGACATCGTTAGTAATCAGGCTTTAATCGACATTCTTCTTATCCGCCACTTCAAAATGCACGGCGGTCTGGTACTGCCACCACTTGCAGGCGCACGCGGTGTACAGGATTTTTTCGAGAAGTTGGCTGAGAAGGAGAAAGCCGAGGGCAAGAAATGGGCTGAGGGAAACAGGACGATGATGCGCTACCCCAACTGGCGCGACACCAAGGACGCCAGTGTGGCGGAGAGGGGCGGTACGAGTGCGGGTGCTGCCAGGGGCAGGGGATACGGCAAGGGCAGGGGAGGCATGGGTGGGGGCTATTAGGCCGGGTGGAGGATACGATGGTGGGTGTGTGGTTGATTGGACTTGGGATTGTTCAAATTGTAGAATACCAGGTGTTGGGTTTGTGTCATTTATTAGGTCTGTCGAGTAGGATACCCGGCAAGCACCATCATGTACTGTGGTAGAGGGATAGTCTCAATAGTCAGAAGAGAGGCTGCCGACCCGCAATCGGTAGAGAGTAGAGAACAAGAAGGTATCCGAATAATAAACGGTAGTATTAAGAATGGCGTACGATAACTGTCGAGCTTCTCCCCGCGGAGTTGCCCCGAAATACTCAACCCTAGCGCCGATTACCTAACGCTGAATACGTGACAAGCTACTACACCACAGTACACAGACTAAAGTCCATGGATAGGACTATCTGACAGATACTCGGGCTTCGGGCTTCGACAAATGTACACTATATTAGACATGAAATCCTCCACAACACCACATCCCTCATGTCGTACAGCTATCTACCCACCCACGTATTCATCTCATCCCGTGCACCCACCCTGATGTAAATTCCCTAACCCTCATTGCCTGGTTTCAGCTATTACATGTAAGCAACTACAATTCCAAACATGTGCGAATTCAGTATAAGAACATACGCTTTAGCAATGTACCATAGCTATCCAACCAAATGGTTGGCAGAGTGCCGTGCCACCATGAACATTACAATACTCATCACAATTGCGACGTTTGCCTCGTATAAAACATCCCTTGTTACAGACGCAGTAGATACTGTACGCCAATGCCACGGATACGTAGAGGAGGATGAGAGTGGCGAGCTTCATTTCTGTCTGAGGGTTTTTGTTGACGAGTGGGTGGTTGATTGTGGGTCGTGTTGATGTTGGCAAGCAAGAGAACGAGATAGTGGGAGAGTACTGTATCTTGGAGAGGTGTTGAGATAAAAAGACTCACGTCTCTCAGGGACATTTATGTGTAGTGACTGACTGGTGCTGGGTCAGTGTTATTGCTTGGAGCACTACTGTGGAAATTTCTCCAGACCGAATGATTGGTTTTGTCGATCAGCTTATAGAGACTGCATGCTTGATTTTATCGATCGGCTTATAAAGACTGCATCTTTGGTTTTGTCGATCAGCTTGCGCCGATGGCCATGCAGCGCATGTGGCAACGATTAGCGGGCTTCATTGTTATTGCAAGTTTGCCTGGGAAGGAGGGAAAAATATCTCAGGTTGTGGGAGAGTGGGATGCGTTGGAAAAGAGTCACCCGCGAACAGGAAGCTTAGACACGGATGACGATACTATTACAACATACTTCCACTCCCGAACAATTCTATCTCTCTACTCATCACGGAATCCTCATCACCCACATTCCAACCCTCACGCATTTCCCTTACTAAAGATCCCGCAACCAAACTGCCAAGCATGACCCTCTGAAGTCACAACCTTAATCTTTCTATAGTCATCAATCAGTTACCTCATTCTCAACACTCCGCTATCGACAATGAGAGGACACATACTTTGAATCTCGAGCATTGGTCAGTAGTGAAGTTCATGAACGCCAGGAAAAAGCAATCAATCGCGCCACTATATGGCTTACAGATTTCATCGCAGTGTTTTCCGGCTGGCATCCAACAATTGTTGTGAGCTTCACAGACGCAAAAGGATGAACAGGCTGAAGCGGTGGATACGTAAAGTAGGACGAGTGCGGGCGTTAACAGCTTCATCGTTGCCGAAGTCGTTAGTTTGTGTTCAAATCTCTTACAAATAATAGGACTTTGGGCTTAGGATTAGACGGCTGGGAGTAGGTGGTTGTGGCCGTAAGTGAGATAGTGAGTCGCAGAACAAGATAGGGGAACTTGGTGACTAGATACTCAAATGCCGCTTCTGGAATTCTGCGCTAGCTTGAGGACAACAGGGCCGAACTGTATATCATGATCTGATGGTGGTAAGACCATCGTGTAGACAAATTGACTCTGTAATTGGAAAGGCAGCGCGCCCACAAATCCGTGTTCTACAGCCAATAAAAAAGTAGTAAGGTGTTGGTACAGTCAGCAATACTATAACGTTTCATCCAAATTTCGTGTTGTGTTGTGTCGATCGGCCATCGGCCCGTACAATGGCAGTTTCCGCGAAATGGCAGGTCAGACGTTACGGCGGCGAGAGTGTTGCAGTGAATGCAATAAATTAAAGTGTAACCGCGCGAGGCAGTAATCAGAGTATATTGTGTGTGTTCTCTGTTGTTGTGCTCACCTTTTTTGAAGGCAGCAGCAGGGTCTATTTACATGACGTATCACCATCACGTGGCACACGTGATCCGCTTCTCCTCATAACCGCCACAGAGAGTTTGTTACGAACTTGCCACACGATCTTGAGGTGCACGAAAGTTCCGCAAATTCCCTGCTTATCAAGGCCACTGATCGTGGTGGTAGTGGGAGCATTTTACGCCACTGAGTACGAGATACATGGAATGTTCACTCCACTAACTAAGCAATTTGGTCTTGGTATCCCTGCGACTATCTCGCCAGAGCTCTCTATGATACGACCCATCACTAACAATTGTATCCTTCGATCTCGGCTGTAAGCCTTAAGAAGCTATTTCTTCTTCCCTTGACCATGGCATCTTCTTTGATGATCTGCGCCGCACCCTCTCCGATTCCATATGCCACCATCTGCGTATGCCCATTATTGACTTTGGGCACCGAGGATACATCGGCCACGCGCAGATTCCTCACACCACGCACACGTAGGCGCGAATCCAGAACAGCGTTCTTGTCATCAGGGGCGCCCATCGCGCAGGTGCCAGATGCATGGTAGCCTGAGAGCATTAGTTACGGTCGATGCGAACAACTGAACAAGACATACAAGTTGTAGCATGTTTTCTAACATGCGGTTCCCAATCTTCCCTCTTGGTATACGTGTGATGTGTCAGATCCGGCGGCCAACTTCCCTTGATAACATCTTTTGTCGCCGAGCCCTTCATTACTATCTCATTCGCAAACCGACACCCCTCGCTCATGACCAGCATATCCAGCGGATCATCCAGGTACTTGTGGTCCACAATTGGGTTCTGTAGCGGATCTGCAGACGCTAGTTTCACGCTGCCTCTGCTATGCTGGTTGAACAGCAACGCGCACATGGCGAAAACGTGCTTGTGGTCGACAGGAAAGTCGTCGTATTGTTTGGGTCCACCATAGAGTTCTGTGTTCCAGATTTCGATGTTGGGTTGGCCCGGGGTCAGGCCCATCGGGTCGCGGCCGGGTTCTCGAGGTGCGCTTTTCCAGAGCTCAGAGTCGCTGAGACGATCATCTAGGCGGGCGTAACCGAAGATACCGAACGGGAAGGTGGAGAGGATGCCGGACCTGTTCTCTTGGTAGAGCTGGTAGGTTGAGGCTATAGCGTTGTCGTGGTAGACTAGGTGGTCATTCGTGAGATTTGGCTCTGAGACTTCGTAGAAGATGAAGCATAGCTGTCAAAGTTGTTAGTCAGTGGTTCAGTTGCGGATCATTAGTGCGAGATCGATGGAGACTTACGACATGGTCCATTAAGTTGCCGCCCACACCAGGTAGGTCAACAAAACATTCGATGTTGTGCTTCTCCAGTTCTTCCTTCGGCCCAAGTCCCGAGCGCATCAGGATTGGAGGACTGCAATAAGCTCCTGCGGCGACAACAACCTCTTTCCTGGCCTGATACTCAACCTTCTTGCCAGCTTTTGTAATGGCAGCGACACCCGTTACAATCATTTCACCGTTAGCTTGGGCTAAAAGAATTTTGTCGACTGTGACCTCTGTCTTGATCGTAATGTTCGCTCTTCGAAACTCCTTAGTAATGAAATCTGCGGCAGTCGTCCTGATGCCTTGGTGTACTGTCCTCGGTACATGACCGCATCCGTGAGCGGTCTCGCCCGTAGAGAACATATCAGGGTGATAATGAAGGCTTGCTTCAATGCAACTCTCTTTGACGAGTTCAGAGATTGGTGCCAGATCGTGGGGCTCGATATGCAGAGGCCCCGCGGTGCCATGGACGGACATATCGGCTTCATGCCACTCTTTTGCGTGGAAGGTTTCAGCCTGCAATCAATGTTAGCAAATGGAACTAAAACTTCAAGATGTTGTAGTCGCAGCATGTTACCCTCTTCATATATTCAAACATCTTGTCACCAGTCCACTCATCCAAGCCCCAGTCATCATAGTCCTGCTTGGTGCCGCGTATGCACACTGTCCCATTGACGCCGCTGGATCCTCCCAAAAAGCGTCCTCTGCTAACCTTGACTTGCCGGCCGTCTACCTTGTCCATTGGTTCCGTTATGATGTTCCAATCTGTTTCGCTGTCGAAGTTCTTGCTCCATCTGTGACATTACTAAATATTCGTTGGGCATCGGAACATCAACCTACCCTCCAGCCATGTGCACATTTTCGAGATTTGCATTATCAGGGCCCGCTTCTAGTACCAAGATCCTGGCGTTGAGGTTTTGGGCAAGGCGACCGGCTATTACGCAGCCAGATGTACCACTAGCAAGCACATGTCAGAACGAGATCATATAGATAGCATGCAAGTAATAGTCTCCGATATATGGAATGAAGCGTTGGATGCAATACGAGCGACTTACCCGCAGATGATATAGTCGTAGGTCTCTGCAGGGTCCACCGAATCGACACGTTCCAGATCTGGGGCCATGGCTGTGGAATCGTATGCTCAGGTACTTGAAGAGATAGAAAGATAATGTGAAAGAGGGGTTCCCTTTGGAAGGAAAGCCACGATATGTTCTCTTTTTATGCTCAACTGCCCAGCTGGGAACGGAATAAGGCCGCACTCAAAAATCGACACATACGGTGCAGTGCAGGCGTAGGCCAACAAAGCAAAGCTGCGGACGCAGTTAGTTCTGGCATAGATGTTCAGCTCTCCAAAATTTACAAACCAATAAGACAAAATGGAAATCGCATCGTGGTCAGCTCACTGCGTCTATGGGTGAAATCATCACTCCACAGCGTAGCTTCCCGGTGACGGAATCACTCCGGATGCTTTCACGGCTCAGTAAGCTAGGGTCTTCCCCAGGTCTCGTTTCGTCTATGTCGGCGCATCTAGGAGCTGTATATCATTGTAGCTTCGATCGTGACGAATAGAAGTAACGGACCCGATGTTAAGCTTCTGCAGTGTCTCCCCCGCCTCGGTGGAGTGATGCGGGGTACCGGAACACCACGCCTCAGAGAGACCACCTCGGAAGACTCCGGCATGCGAAAAACACCACCAGAAACTGTAGTACGCGACTAACATGCATTCATGCAGCTTAGTCATAGAAGAACAAACGGGGGACGCTTTGATGTTTAGATTATCGCTGTCCAGACACTCCTTAGATTGTATCAACTACGGTCGAGAACGATAATTAATATATTATACGGGATCCATTTCCACGCTAGCTACACTAGGGTTAGATGGGAGTTTCACTAACTATGAAGGACATGCAATCCATGTATAGCGCAAGATGAGAAGTAAGCAGAACCACTTTGGAAAGTAATGCTTAGAACATGTCTAGACTGCTAGCTCTTCGATCGAAGAGCGAGCATTGACATCTAATTTGGGGGGTCAATGAACGTTTAGACAAATTGTAGAACTAAGAGGCGGTGCACCACAACTAACACCTGAAACGACCAACTTTAAGAAAGGCCTACAAAAACAGTCAGCTTTCACAGTACTTACCACTCGTACTCCTGGAAATATGGGTCTAGGAAACAGATCGAGCGCAGGATCGTATCTGACATATGGGGAGCTATTCCATAGCGCACTAGACGGGTCGCTGCGCACTACATAAAGCTGACGCCTATAGACGAAGCCTATAAGCGCTGTGCTGAACGGGGCTGAGCTTTATACCATGTTCCCTCCTTGCTGGGATATTAGAGCTCACTGACGATGGGTGATGCCTGGTAAATCTACCCTATTCGGATGTGCTATGAAAAAGTTCAAGCCACGGCGGATGCCGTTAATTCGTGTCCGTATCGTTGAATCAGAGGCGCAAGACTCCCTTCGGTAGAATCGCACTAAGAAACTGATTATAAGAACACTGGAGGCTGTCGTCGTTTTAGAAGCATATCAAACACTCTATTACTTCTTTATCACTACGAAATCTACACAATACCCTCATCCCCGTCAAATAAACACTCATTCCACAATGAAGGCGACTTTTTACTTTGCAGCAGTGGCCTTTTTCGCCCCATCTGTGCTCGGCCACTGTATTGTGACTGGCAATAACAGTGCCTGCAAGATAACCTACGCCGTAAGTAGCCTTGATCGTCAATGGAAGATCTGGACATTGTACTAAAACTACCCTGATAGTGCGATAATGGGACTTTGCCTCCACGAATTTGCGGTAAGTACCTACCGAATTAAAGGTGTTCGTATACTGGGTCGCTAACAGAACTGTGATTATAGACCTGATCGAAAATGGAGGTACTACCTACTGTTGCAACTAAGTTCCGCACAAAAGGTTCCTCGAGTTTGATGCCTGAAGGAGGACAGGAGAGAGAACACAGAGTGGTGGATACAGGTTCTACAGCGAAGCATTCGGCAAAAACATAGGAGACCATCTCTATAACTAAACAGCTTACTTGTATTACTGCGCTGTTATTCGTGTGAGAGGGCTTGTGCAACTAATGCTCCTTTATGGTACGCTTCGGATGCATCCGTATGTTGGTACCAGTAGGCTCTACTGCAATACTCTAAAACTCTTTCTTGGATAGAGGTTTTATCTGTGATCATGTTTCTAGACTACCAATTTAATATCTGCGCTACCATTGGATAGTCAAAAACTCTTTCAAAACTCGTCAGATGCGCGTCTCGTTGCTACGACCATCGGTGATGCGTGTTACCACATGTCCGAGCTCTGAAACAGACCCAGAAGCATGGAGCTCGTGCACTTGACTTTCCTGTCCGGGAAGCTGTTGTACATTTTGTCCATCAAGATTATATTGGTAAACCTCTTTACTGGGTGGTCTCGGAAGGTCACTGTATGGCGGCGCGATAGCCCTAGCCTGCCTTCGCCATCGCATTGCTTTTGCGATGAAAATACCCATCGCTATCACTGTGATAGCTCCAAGTACTGCACCAACTCCGATCCCAGCTTTTGCACCAGTAGAAAGACCATTGTTCCCAACAGGTATGGTCGAGTTATGAGTGCTCGATGAAGACATGGATGATCCCTGACTTGTAGCAGTTGGCATTGAGTCGCTAGGAGAACTTGAGAGAACCGTAGTGGTGGGTAACGGATCGCCGAATCGAGCCGCAACGGTGTATCTCGTGATATTCCGGCCATCAGCGCAACAGTTTTTGGTAGGTCCGCAGCACCAAATTAAGGACTCAGCAGTCCCATCACAGGGCTGTACACGTATATCAATGCTTCTTTGCTCTTCGTCCTACTTGGTGTAAGTATTTGCTTTCATATATGGGGTAACTCAAAAAGATTTACCTCTGTTGAGCATATCTCCTGACACCCGCCCTCCGTCCAATCCTGCTTGGTACATGACTCACGCCAGAAGTTTGTGTCTACCGTATTCCTGCACAGTCCATTTGGTAGACACTCGTCCCATGACGCGCAGCAGATTGTGCTGAGGGGATTGGAAGGGTCGATGCTGCAGGGTACGTAATTGTTGTTTGGATTCTCCGTGCCATTGCGCCAAAAGCAGCCTGATGCTGCGCATTGCAGAAATACGATGCTAGAAAAACAAAGTAACAGGGGGATTCGACAAGACATCATAGTAATACAAGGTTGAAAAAGACAGGAAAGAGGACACAGTACATTATATAGCTCTCCCAAAGTGTACATGAGCTTACCACCGTTTCATCGCTTGGGGGCCAGCCAATGGGCCCATTTGGGGTGCACAAAGGCCAGCGTTGGCACAACGGTCACCAAAAGAGCACGTTCTAACTTAACCAGGCCCAGCTGAACTTGCGCAGTGAGCGAGAGCTGCCAAGCTACTCAGCCCTGTATCAGGACAATCAGTATGGACGTTGGTTGGCGAGAGCGGTTACACGCAAAGATTTAGCTCGCGGTAAGAATACGCCCCAGCCAAAACTGGAATGATAACCCCCTGATCAGCTCAGTGTCTCTAATGATATTCAATAAGGCGCAGCGACGACCGTATAAGTTGCCACCCGGCGGCTCGACGTTCAACGCGACTCGCTAAGATGTTTTGTATGTGTCAACAGCAAAATAATCGAACACCCTCGTGTCAACCAAATTTAGCTATATCGGTAGCGATATCGTGACCACCAGCTGATGCGCAAGTCAACACGGCCTTGTTGTTATGTAAAGTGCTGTAACGTGGCTGCCTTGCGCGATGTGGGTACGCATCATCGGAATCTTGCTAGTTAAGCACAGCGACCCAAGAGTATTCCACGATGCTGACAATAAATTTCTACATCCCACTCCTAGACCTTTAAATCTCAAGTACAAATCGTTCTTGCGCCATTTCCACTAAGACTCCACTTGGTCTTGTTGGCAGTGCAAGGACTCTCCCTAACGGTCGTTCCATCAACCCTCAGCGCAATCGCAATATCCTTGCTATTTGCAAACTCTGTCCGCGCCGCCAATCTCACCTCACCACCACCGCTCACAGTTCCAGCCTTGATGTTGACATTGTAGCAGTTTTCGATGAGAATGGCATTGTTGCCCGTGTTCGCGACGTCGATGGTGCCGATTTGCGCACCGCCAGAGGCGGACACGCAAAAGATGCCACGACCACCACCGCGCGCCTTGACACGATCGACGAAAATATTGGTGTTGTATGCGCCGTTCAACTTTCCGGCCTCATTGGCGAAGCGGAGGGCGGCGTAGCCGGTACCTGAACCACAATTGTCACAGTCTACCGAGCCGACCTTTGCATTGGTGACCTTTTGAAGCAACAGGCCGCATTCGCCAACGTTCTTGCCAATCACGGAGCCGATGGTGAGTTGGTCAATGTTCCACGTCTCGATACAGTGCGATGAGCCGCCTACGCAGGTGACGGTACCGATTTGCACGTTTGTGTTTGCTGCACGGTCGCGATCAAAGCGAATTCCGATTCCGTCTTTGAGGTTGAAGTTGATGGTGCCTAGAGTGAGGTCCTTTGTGCCGGAGAAACGAAGTCCAAAATACGCAGAACCTGCCATGGTGAGGTAAGGGATCTTGACACCAGATTGGTTCGTAACCTCGATGTTGCCAGATGCGGACTTCGTCGCGACAGTAATGGTACCACAGCCCTCGAATGTCTTGCCACTCGTGATGGTCAAGGTGTTGGCACCGATGTTACCGGAAGCCATGACCGAAACGCGTTGACCACTGCTGATTCCGTTGATGGCAGTCTGGATGGCTAGGCGGTAGTCAGAGCCAGTATAGAGTGTGGTGGATCCTTTGGTGGCAGTATAACTGCTCCCCGAGCCAGTCACTTTCGCGTCGGGAGTACCAGAACCGCATTGCGCAGAGACCAAAGAGGCAAGTGCCAGCACGGCAGTGAGGCCAGCGATTTGAACCATGGCCGAGAATTGCTAATGGTGAAATCGAGAGAAAGAACGATAGCCGTGGGATATGATCAGACGGACATGCCACGGCTTTTCTTCTTTCTCCTTGGGGTCCTCCAAGCCTCATATATGGCTATTCTCCACCACCTGATGCTCATATAAAGTTTGGAATATATTATCCTAGCAAGTGTCAACAGAATTGGATACGATTTGCTGGCTTATCGGGCGCAGCTCTCCCGCGAATATGGTGTTTTCGGTATTCCGTCAACACCATGTTTTGTTATCCACCAATGATAAAGTAGACCCCACAGCGGATCTATGTGTTAGTGTCCACGACGCTAACGTTTCATGCCAAGCATCTTGAGATTGTCCCTTCTCGGCAGAACGACATCCTGAATGCCGATTTGTAGGGCCAATTCGCTCTGGAAAAATGCGGTGAGAACCGTAGATTATTCCAGACGATTTCCTATTCGTGTATGCGAATATTAACCTCACTAACCTCGCTATATCTGAGACCGCAACTTTATTTTCACAATCAAGATGATCGTCTGGGGTACATATCCGTGCATCAACAGCCATTGGCAATGAACAATTGTTTCTACCCCTCACGTCTTGGCATACAATTTCTCCGCCCATTACCAGTGTATCCATCCTGCCACCAAGTCGCACAGCACGCGGAGTTTGTTTACGAACTCACTCAAACACATCGCTGACATACCTATCCTCCTTGACCTTCTCTAGCCACTTCTGGGCATCATCTTCCGTCTTACCTGGAAATGTGTCCATGTAGATCTTCATGCAGATCTCTGCAGTGCTCTTCGCCAATTTACTTGCACTGCCACAGATGAAGATCTTGGCACCGTGTTCTCCAAACAACTGGGCCAACTCCTTGCGCTCATCCCACATACGATCAGGCACGCGTTGGGCCTTCTGTCCCTCAGGCGCGACTTTGGAGAAGCATCCGCGCACACTAACGACGCCATCTGCTTCCCATTGCGCCAGTTCGTCCGCGTAGATGAAATCCTTTTCGTGGTGGCGGCAGCCAAAGTACAGGATTGCTGGGCCAACGGTGGCATTGCGGGCCTTCTTGATAACCGCTCGCTCTTGGATGAAGCCGCGCATGGGGGCTAGACCAGAACCCGCGCAGATCATGATGATAGGTACTGTGGGATCCAGTGGCAGATGGAAGTTTACGTTCGTTGGGCGTGTAAAGCAACGGACCTTTTCACCAGGCTCTTGTCTAGCAAGGTATGTAGATGCGGCGCCGCGGAACTGACGGCCACCTCCACTCCATGCGGCTTCTTCGTGTACATCATACGTCAATGAGGCTGTCAGGCGCTGCGTGTTGGTGCCATCGGGCTTCTGTGTGAATTCGATGTTGGCGATCGGTGAGGACGAGATGCTGTATTGACGGGGTGAGAGGGGCTTTAGCGAGTCGAGATAAGTAGCAAAGTCGAGCTGGCAGTCTGGGTAGTCCTCAAGGATGTCCAGGATGCTGTAACGCTTTGAGATGACATCTCTTTTGTACACCTCATCTGTTGCGAGCTCCAACAACTTGCCCCGCTTGTTTTCGGATGTCGCTTCTGCGAGCGTTTCGAGTTGCTTCTGCGAAATGGGTGTGCTCAACTCCACACGCGTCATGAGCAGGTCAAAGACGGATATGGGCGAATCGGTAGCGATGAAGCTCTTGTTGGTTCCAGTAACGATAATGTTGTCGTCGGGCGCGAGATCGAAGCGTTTCATGATACGCCTCACATTCGTGATGCTGTTTAGCGGTAAAATAACCATATAGTCGCCGGATCGGTACGATGTCCCAGCGGGAAGTTCGATCTCCATATGCTTCTTTGCAAGGCCAACCTCACCACAGCCCAAGTCTTTGTTGACCTTGACTTCTCCGTAGCCAATGTCGCTACCACCGAGATACGTCGCGAACTTTGGGGGTGTTATCGCAACCTGAACCTGTCCACCAAGAACTTCAACAGTCGTACCGCTCGATTTGCGGAGATCATTCCACATCTGCTCGGACCATTTCTCCCAAGGACCCATAATGTCTTCTTTCACATTGACAAGGCCGGTCTCGGTGAACCTCTTTGCACCCATTTTCTCGAACAAATCGTCTGTCAGCTTTGGGATCCGATGGTAAGTGTGAGTCCAGTCGCTGTTGCCGACACCAAAGATGGCGTATTGCACACCTTCAAGTTGCTTGGAGTTCGCATTGCCCTCCAACCATGCAGTGAACTTCTTGGCATTGTCGGCTGGCTTCCCCTCATAGGAGGGCTCAATGATGACTATCGGCTGGTCCTTCGGAATATGTTCAGTGGCAGAGTCTAAGCTGGCTATGTTGGCTTTGAAACCGAAGCGAGATGCATTCGTCTCAAGGTCTTCCGCGTAAGACTTGCATGTACCTGCATTTGAGCCGTACAGTACAGTGATTGGTTTCGCATCCCGGGCGGGGGTCTGCTCTCCATTACTTGGATTGGATTTCTCCGCGCCTGCTTTTTGGGAGGGAACATTTTGCCCCACCCCGCCTAGGCCGGCCATAGTTCGGCCAGGTCGCCTGCGAACTTTGATCTTCAGGTCCTTGGGCTTCTGCGTTATGGTAACGGAGACGTCTAGAAGGCAATAAGCATTACTGCAGTTGAAGGGCGTACATATACTCACGGAGCTGATAAGCAGGATCTGCCAACTCGACCTGGAACTTCTGTATTATGAGAGCGACGACCATTATCATCTCTTGCTCAGCAAAGGTTCTACCGATACAGGCTCGCATTCCGTCTCCGAAGGCCTTCCAGGCGTTTGGAGGCAGGCTCTCCCACCCACCGTTGAGGAACCTGTCCGGTCGAAACACTTCAGCATCTTCGCCCCAAACCTTTGGGTCGTGATGTAGTCCACGAAGATTCATGAGAACGTGGTCCTCGGGCTGTACCTGATATTTACCCTTGTGCGTATTAGTCTGATAGTATCACAAAAGAGATTAAACTTACGGCAATCTTCGTTGGCTTCAAAGAATGCTTCGTAGTAAGTGCAATAGGGCCAAGGAACCTCAAAGCCTCATATATAGCGAACTTGATATAGACAAGCTGCGAGATGTGCTTCGCCTCCAGGGGACCGTCGCCAAGAACCTCATCAACTTCGGCCTGGGCTTTGAGATACGTTTCTGGATTCTTGAGCAAGTGGTAGAACAGGAACCCTAAAGTTCCGCTTGTAGTCTCATGGCCCGCGACCAGAAACGTCACCATGTTGTATCGGACGAGCTCATTAGACATTTTCTCACCAGTCTCTTTGTCAACTCCTTCCAACATAGGATTGAGAAGATCCTTGGCATCTGGTTGCGGGTGTGCGATGCGATCGGCGATGATGTGGTCACATAAATCATGCATCTTCTTCACGTTCTCCTGGCGATTAGCTTCAGCAAAGACGCGCAGTTTGTTCTCAATCGCTGTGCGGCTGCTTCGTTTTCCAGATTCCATCAAAACTTCAACCATCTGGTCAATGAATGGGTTCGCATGGTCAGAGTAGAAGTTGTTGAATCGATATCCGAATGCGCATAAGCCGATCATATCAAACGTAAGTCTATGTATGTCAGCGAGACACAGATGGATGCAAGTGCCTAACATGGTGTACCGTGTGAAGTCGTCGCTACACAGTATTTCGTGCTCTGGACCAAACCGATCCCATCGAAGCAACATTTGTGTCGCGATATCCATCATATCATCGAACATCTTGCGGATGCCCATTGGGCCAAACACCGGCATGAGCAAACGATGCGCCACGCCCCAAGCCTAGCAATGTGTTCAATACAGCGATATACCGCATTTACGGTTTCAGCTCACCTTCTCCCCAGGGTAGGCTGTGAATAGCCCATTGCCAGTCAGAGCGCGAACCTCCTCGAGCGTTGCATTTATGGGCTTCTCGAACCGTTCCGCATCACAGACATCGTTTATCGTGTCGTATGAGGAAACAACAACGACCTTGCCCTTACGACCTGGTAGATCGAGCTGATAAATCTCGCCATATATGTCCGCAAGCCGTTGGAAGGAGCTTGGCACATTGGTCGGGTCTATCTCCGAGAGGTTGCCGATGAACAGTGAGGGTGGAGGCTGAGGGATTGGAACGGATTCTGTTGTTTGTGAAGCCATGGTTGTAGTTACGAAAGCGACGAGTATATCTGAAGCGATGGTTTGCTTGGTTATCGCTGCGAAGCGAAGATGATGGACAAGCTGAGTGCAGGCAACTCGCACACGAAGAGAAGAGGCGCCGTTCTTGTACTCGGAAAGCAGCTGTCCCAGCAGCCTAGAGTTGTGGACGGCTCAAAGCTCCCCATGATCGAGCCTTGCCATATACTTCTGCCTGCTTGCTTACTCGGCAGGGGCAGGAAGACATCGAAGGATGCAGATGTAACCAATAGGATGCGCGTTGATGTTAGGCTATTTTGACTAGAGCTTTTGCGTGTTCAGCTGCGGGCGGCTGTGTCAGCCTCACGACAGGCTAACTTACCAACTGCAGAGCTAGCAAAGGCGTCCGAGAACCGAAACTCTTTCGTACGAGGAGCGACTATGAGATCACCCGATGACGCCGTAATCGCCATGCACGATTGCTTTCATGCGCGCTGCGCGTACTAGTTATCCGCCAGGCGGCCCGAAGCGCGCGTGGACAAATGAAGCGCACGATCTGCATCATGTCACAGCATGCGCTGTGGATACTGACGGAGTTTGAATGGCTGACTCAACCACTTTCAAGATGCATAGTCCGAATTACTGGTATCGTACAATGGTCTCGAGTTTAGTAAGTTGAGTGGTGCAGAGAAGAGCTAAATAAGGATGCTGGTTGCGGGGTCACATTCGGAGAAGGACGTCATGTCGCAGAATGCACGCCAATGAGATACAAGTACATACTGCATACCCTGACTGGACGGCAACAGTAAGTTAACGTGAATCTCAGCTCGGGGACGCTCCACAATCATCCATCCATCCGTTGGGTGGCTGAAGCAGCGCGCTCGGCCGAACATCGGGTCAACTACCTAACTAAGTACTAATCATCTTAGGCTTAGTGAGATGTTGGACCTCGGGATATGTTCATCTTTATTGAGAAGCTGGCACTATTAGTAGTAGTATGACTACCTAATAGAGCGCTCTCTAAGGCACAACGGTAGTGGTGGTACGACTCGTATTGTATTGACTAAGGAGCTATTCACACGTTCGTAGATCCGTGTTGCGTGCAGCTGCGTCCAAGCTCCCCGCTAGGACCCACCTGCACGTGTCACCAATCATGTGACTACTCCTCCGCTTGATACCACCAAGTCACTTACGGACTGTATTCTCAACAATCTTCAAATTTGAGGCGCTTGGTAGATCCAACTACTCAATCCCTGTGAGAACGGTCGTCGCACTCCGCGGCGCCTTTGAAGAAGACAAGCGATAACACCTGAACGGATATTCGTAGACTGTGTCTTCCATGCACCGTTAAGCCAGCCGGTGGACCCACGCCGTTCTGTGAGTCGCGCGACAAAAGATGTGTGACATGGCCACTTTGTGATCTATAGTCTGCGTAGCTGAGGATCAGTTTGCCGTAGTAACTAGTAACAAAGGTTAAATTCGCAGTCTGAAGCTTTCCATGGCCCACTCGTCTCAATTGGCGAGCCTTGCATCCTCGCATACGAACAACCAGGTCAGACCGAGCGATGAACTCTTTCACTCAATTTACGAATTCGGTTTCAATACCTGGGCGCAATTGTATATCGCCGCCAGCACCAATCCCAGATTGCCTCTAAGTTATCTGTCGCCTCAAGAAGCTTTTCCACAACACCCATCTTTTCCAGCTACGGTACTTGTGCAATACAATGAATTTGAGGCTTTCGTTGCCGCATCATCGATCTGGGGGTTGGAGATGTCTGCTTGCAGCTACGGGTTGCCGTCGTTCGAGCGTCCTATATCCATTGGCATTACGACGAAAACCCCGATACCGCTCTCAGTTTCAGACGTTCCTCAGGACGATCTCAACTATAGTTCGTGGTTCGTTAGTGATGACAACTACCTTCTTGTCCTCATCCTAGCATGTACATACATCCTCTCAGCTCGATGGGCTGAACTCATTCCTACAACCTGTTCCGTCGAGTACACCACTACCATTACGGCACATAGTGACGCCGTGAATGACAAGAGAATCGACCACGAAGATCTTAACACTGTCTGCATAGACATCGACTACGCAGATCAAGATGAGGTACGATGGTGGTCTGCTATTCTGTCGCCGGGTCAAGGCTGACAAGCAATGATGCGTTCGGCACAAGCTACCTTCCTGTCACCCTGGTCCACAGATTTCCAGTCAAGTTTGCAGTTCCAACTGTCGCTTCCGTTACAGTCGAGTGCTACGCCCACAGTTCCAACATCCTCGACGGCGTATGAGTATCTTACCAGATTCTGCACTCGTCGCAACATCATCGATCAGAGTCATGCAGCACTGGCGGCTGCTCTCTTACTCCCATCCATGAAAAGTGGTCGAGCCTTGCAGCTACCAGCTCCAAAGTTAAGCAAACCGAAGCTTTCGCAGGAGCTTGGAGAGGGCAGTACACAGTTCAGTCAGGCACGTCCAATCCACTGTCCGGACAGACTTCTCACGTTGAGTTGTAACATCCGGGAAATCTGCGCCGCACTCCTAAGTGCATTTATGAGGCAGAGATAGAGTGCAACACTGTCACGCCGTGGCTCCAGGGCACATTGTCTGCCATCAACACCTTAGCTAAGAAAGACGCCTGCATTATCGGGCGTATGTGCATGGAACGAAAGCCTGAAGTTGCGTACCTCTGGCTTGGTGCCACAATTCTGGACTTGCAAGACCGTCTTCTACTGGATGTTCATCGTGGGCAGATTCCGTTTGACCCAAAGAGTGCTGCCTGGACAGGGACGCTGCAGTCGTTTATACAGCAACCAGTCGGTAACCCTCTTGTCATACATGGGCAGCTTAACGCGTTTGCGTAAAACGTTTTAGCTTAAAACGTTTTAAAACGCTTTAACAGCTTAAACTGTTCACGCGTTTAAGAAAATCCTTAAACGCGTGAACGATTTAAAAACGCTATAAGAGGCTTGGCGCCAAGCACCCCACCTTTGCATCTCAAAAACTCTGCAACCACTCCCCACTAACCTGAAATCTCAACAAATCCATTATCTATAGCATCTATTATCGTTATGTCATCGAATACCTTGTCAGCAAGTGCGATATCAACGCCACCGTCGCGAAGACCCGCAACGCCGCCACACTTTGACGCTGTTATACGAACCGAAACTGTCTGTAACACCAGCAATGCAAAGCGCCAGCGTTTGAAAAAGCAGTATGTGTGCAAACGCTGTCGCTCATGGTTTAGCAGTCACCGAGTAAACTCTATCCACCATGTTCTAGCATATCATACAACGTCAGAGTCTTCTCAGCCCTCGCAAACTTCTTCTTCGTCGTCGCAACCAGCTATCACTTCAGTGTTTAGGACTGTCTCTGATCAGACAATTATCCGCAACGCCTTCAATGAACAAGGGTATCGCGATGCGCTTGTCGGTCTTCTGACTCGACGTCGAATAGCCTTTTCATCAATCGAATGGTCTGAAATGAGGGATCTAGCGCTTGCTTGCAATCCATTTATTGAAGACCAGCTTATCACAAGTCGACGTACAGCCGTACGTCTTATCGCCTCGAATTATCAGCTTTATAAAGGCCATGTAATTAAAGGCAGCTTATCGACGGCTGTGAGTCCTATCCACATATCAACAGATCTCTGGACATCACCGTTCCGTTCATCTCTCCTTGCTGTATGCGCACAGTGGGTCGATCACGAATATAAGCTTCAGAAGGCTCTTTTAGGACTGCCAGAATGTCGTTACAGCCACTCTGGAGAACAGCAAGCACACTTACTTCTTCAAACCCTCGAGGAATATGGGATACAGTCTAGAGTTGGCTGGCATACGGGTGATAACGCAACATCTAACGATACCTGTTTGGAGCATCTTGAAACCCTCCTTCGAACTAAGCACAACGTAAGCATGGCTTTTAATATAAAAATCGGCCTTCGCTGCTTAAGTTACGCGATGGTGCTAATATTAACAAGGTTAAATTTACTGCTAAAGAGCGCCGTATCCGATGTATCGGTCATATTATCAATTTATCCTTGCAGGCATTCCTGCTTGCATCCTCTAAGGAGGCTCTTACCGCTGCTCTCGACGCCGTAACGGATGTTATGGGGGAAGAGCTTCTCGCAGAGTTTTCAAGCGTTCTTACTTCTCGACAGAGAAACCCTAGAGCCCAAGCCCAAGCTGTTCCACAAACCTCACAGAGACAAAGGTTGTCTCGCCGAAGACGCAGCGTTGATAGCCATGGGTCTGTTGATGAGGACTTTTGTGGTATTGAGAACATCTCTACACTACGCAAATTACATCAACTATGTGTCTGGCTGCGCAACTCAAGTATACATGCAGCAGAGTGGGATCGCAAGGTAGGCCTCCGCTTAGGGATTGACAATCAGACTCGGTGGTCTTCATGGTACTCAGTTATGGATCGGGCTATTAAGAAGATGGCTGCAATTAAGGTCTTTATGCACGATAACGAGAAACACCTTAACGAGATCCGTCTTACTTCTGACGACTGGGATATACTACAAAAAGCACATACATTTTTACAACCATTTGCATCAGCAACGCTATACGCGGAGGGAGATAAATCGTCTATCTCTCAATCTCTTTTGATTATGGACTCTCTTTTAGTCCACTATGAGCAGCAAAAGGTAAGCATTAACGTGTTATCCGAACTTTAAGTCTTCGGTTAACAGCTTTATAGATACATTACTCTAAAGATGAAAATGAGGACCTTCGCATGGTTCGATCGATCGAGATGGGCTGGTTCGTACTTGAGAAGTACTACAACATGACTGATCAGGTTCCGGTGTACGCTTCCGCTATTCTTCTAAATCCCGCAAGTAGAGCAGCATATCTCAAGAAGAACTGGCCAGCCGAATGGTACGAACCAGCTATTAACGCTGCTCAAAACTTTTGGGTGAATGAGTTTAAGGACGCTTTGCCTTTAGCTAGCCCTACAGCTTCTCAACAAATGGCTCCTCCTTTAAAGCAACGCGGTGCCGTTCTCGATCAGATTCTACAACAGATGTCAGTTGCGGCGGCAGATCAATCAAACAGCGACGATCTTAAAATTTTCGCAGAAAGTCCAGTAATACAAATCGACTGTAGCCCTCTTGAATGGTGGTGCCGATCGGAGCAACGGCAGCGCTACCCTAGGCTAAGCAACATGGCTATCTCTATTCTTTCTATCGCTGCAGAGTCGTCCGAGCCAGAGAGAACATTCTCAGGTGCAAGAAGAACCTGTTCATGGGATCGGTCGAGGCTCACTTGCGACAACATTGAGAAGATCGAGTGCATTGGCAGTTGGCTTAGGGAAGGCCACATAAAACCGTGTTCTCTCAACGGAATGGGTCTACCAATGGAACCAGAGCAAGATGACGAAGCAGAGATGATAAGGGATGAGGTAGAGGAGATTCTAGAATGGACATAACCCGGTCTTGGCATGATGTATCTTATATCGTTTTTATATCGTTTATATCGTTAAACGCTTTAACGTTATAAGGATTTTTGCTTAAACGCGTTAACGTTTTAAGGTTTGCCAAAACGATTTAAAAACGATTTGCCCATGTATGCCTCTTATGGTACAAGGTCAGATAAGGCGCGCAGACGAGTGTCAATTGCTTTTCCTTTCCAGGTCCGATCGCCATGTTCGCCATCCGATTTGTCAATGGAAGCCATTTGGAGCAACGGCTGTCGAAGATGTTGATATTGAAGTTCGGAACCATGGCGACTGCGGGCATCATCAGCTTCAATATCAAGGTATCCGATCGAATGAGCCAAGCCACAACTTACAATTCATCCTACTACACCACCCTTTCGCGGCGGAGAACCGGTGACAGTCTCCTATGAAGCGCTTAACCGGGATCGCGAGGAGATATCCGAGAACGCAGCGCGCAATATTCTAGGGTGGCTCCGTTCCGATGGATGGGCACGTCACGAAAAGGAGATACCACAACACCCTTGGTTCGACATGAGCGACTCAGAAGAGGAAGAAGAGGGAGAAGATCAGCCCGCTTCCGAGAAGAGTCGAAAAAATATGTCCGCGGTGATATCATAGCTTGATGGCCATCAAACCCCCGCCCATTGAGAGATGATAAGAATACTATGATGGAACTGTGTCGATGGGATGCTAAGTCGGGCTCCTTCAGTTATATGGAAGTGCCAAGCCTTAGTCATGTGACACAGTGCAGCGGCAGCTCCTCCTGCGGTTATCATCAGCGCTTTGTGGAAACCTGTAGCGAAACAGTTCATTGAATCAATATATCTAGAGTGATTGTATATCAATTCTTATAGAAGTCCTTGAGCTATTAAGAAAGTAAGCAGAGTGGTAAGAGCAAATGCCTAACCCGCACAAAGGACAAAGGCTCTCTATGAGCCCTTAGAGCTTTTGCATAAAACTTTACGATACGTTTATCTCCTTGGCCTTATCTTGGAACTTCACTGGTAGCAGCCATACATGCCTATCTCTTCCGGGGCTTCATACGAACAAGCAACCCTGACTGCTTTGCGAACCAGTACGTACGAACCTCCCAAGTTGGCTTTTCTGAAGCCCACTCCAGGTCAAAGTCCCGTATCACTTGCGGTATCAGTTTCCCCGTCTCCACAATAGAGATGTTTTCTCCAATACAACTCCTCGTTCCTGTACCAAACTATTGAATCACCGAGTTAGCTCTTTCCCCACAATTTCAAACAACAAACCCGCATCGTCTCATAGCAAAGCAAAGCTTACAGTCAAGAGATAACGATCCATGGATTTGATCGTCTCCACATCCTTGTTCAACCAGCGTTCAGGGCGGAACTCATCCGTATCGGCGCCGAAGATGTTGGTATCACGATGGATGACAGACGCATTGATACCAACAATGGTACCGGCGGGTATGTGCTTGTCACATAGTTTTGTTCCACCGGCGGGCACGACTCTCTCCAGAGGGTATGTATGTATGTATGTAATCCATTAGCGTCCTTTATCAGTCAGAGACTATGTAGGACGGTGGCAGATGCCATTCTAGCTATTTTTATCTCTCCTTTGATGTTCGTTGGTTATGTTTGACTAATGTAGTTTAGGCATGTCCTAGCTATTACAGGGGAGGAGAGAAAGTAAAACCCTATTATAGCTGCCTGTTTTTCCTTCTCTTCAACCTATCTCTTTTTGCAACGCTTTCCTCGTGTTCCTAAGTCTGAAAAAACCTCAAAGGGGAAAAAGCCATGGGATCTTGAACGAGGCGTAGGGTTGTAACAAGCTTAGCGTAGTGTTTGTAGTCGTAGCAGTGCGTGGCTCGGGTGTACTGCGGCTATAACCTGTCGCTTAGGTTTGCAGGGGTAGGTGAAAATTTGCGAGTTGGAGTAAGCCGTTCGATATTTTTTGGTAAAGCCACAAGTGGCGGTGAGAGGAGAAGGATTCGAACCTTCGACCTCTACTACACTGCAAATTTGGAGTGCGGTAAAGGAATACCAGGCGCTTTACCACTGCGCCATCCCCCCCTCTCCAGAGGGTAGGCGACGCCGGGATGCATGCGCATGGCTTCTTTCATACAAGCTTGGCTGACGGCACGCTTTGGTTAGAAGTTATCCACATCTATCGTGTTTTCCCGCCATTGGCTTACAGGTATACGAGTTGCAAACTCTCAGCGTATGTTATTGTGGGTGAGAGCTTGTCCGTAGCATCGCCAATCTCTTTCCGGAGACTCTCATATGTCTCCCTGTTCTGCAACAAGTAGTAAAATGTAGCTCGTAGGGAGATTGCTGTTGTGTCGCTTCCAGCAAGGCTATACAGAACAAATTAGTCAGCTTTAATGGCGAGTTGGTTTTTTTCTTAGCACAATCACAGGTTAATCATCAAATGGCTGATGACGTCTCGTTGGCTCATCCCATATCCAGATTTCTGTCTCTGTTGCTGCAGATACGAAAGGAAATTCCCTCTAGATGTTTTAGAAGATTCGCTCTCTTATTCTTTGAGACTATCTATGATCATCTTGTCTGCCAATTAGTCTTGGATCTTACAGTCAAAGCGCCCACGAGATGTAGTCAAATGGTATGCGTACCTGTGTAATTATTGGCAGCGGGTCTCCGACGCCACTTGTCACTTTCGCCAGTATGCTTCTGAAAGTAAGATTGCCAAGTAAGAACTCGTGCAGCCATTGTATCTGACCAGCAAGACCTCCGTAGACGATCCAAGCGTCAATGCCGGCAATAACGTCCAGACTTTCCAAAAAGCAAGTTGACTTGGATTACTTGCTTGACTTGCTTGGTTTAAACCAAGCAAGCAAGTCAAGTAAGAGCTGGGCAGCTAAGCAAGCAAGTCAAGTCAAGATACTTTGCTTGCTTGGCTTACTTGGTTTACTTGGTTGTTTTAGCGTTACTGTGATGAGGGTGCTAAAACTGCTGTACGGTAGATGTCGCGATGGTTTTGAAGTGTTGCAGTTGCCTCGGTTGAGTCCCAAACAGGCTAAGCGGCTATCAAATAACGTTAGCCTTAGTCTAGCGCATTGCTCCAATCTCGACGTACGCCTGTCTAGAAGCCTATCGCAATGCAGTATCCCCTATAGCAACGCGTTTTCCAGTGATTTATACTGCCCTGATACCCCCAATATGGCCAAACGTCGCCTACCACAAACTTCTGCTCGGAGCAAACGTACGAAAGTAGCCGCTGCCACCAACAACGTCGCCTCAACTCCTGAGGCTTCACCTGAGCCTGCATCTAAGCCTGCATCTAAGCCTAGACCTCAGCGTCGATCACCTCGCAAAACCCTAGCTGCCGCAAGCCAGGCTAACGCCTCGCCGCCAATACCTACCTTCGAGTTGCAGTTCTTAGAGTCGCAGGCGGAGGCTGAGATTGTCGCGCCCACCGAGGGCAGCCGAGCTGGCACGGTGGCTACAACTGAGGCTGGAGAGGGTGGTCAGGATGAGACAAACAGCGCACTAGTTGAGAACTTTGACGGCATTGACTGGGCACGTTTACCTGATTTTATCAAGCCATTGGCGCGTTCTAAGCGCCCAAAAAGTTGGATCTTTCAGTATGGCTACCGCGTTGTTGAGCGCCATGCTACATCTCGAATCTGGTTTGTGTGCAAGTACTGCCATGTACACAAAACTATCGACGCTGGCCGTGGTGGTTTGTTTAACATTACTCAGGCTACAACCTCAGCAGCCACCCATCTCAGCCAACCAAAGCCTGGCCACAACCTTACGAAAGATGGCCCAAAGTTAGCGCAGAGAGCTCGAGGCCAGCTGTCGTTGCGGCAAGCTTTTGACGCTGGTTTAGACGTACAACAAAACACTGCTAACGCGTTTGGAAACTTCGACGTAGAGGGCTTTCGAACAGCCACTGTCATGTGGCTTGTTAACCGAAACCACCCGCTCAGCGAACTTACGACGCCTGATTTTAGAGAGATGATGAGATTTGCCAACCCAGAGGCAGAGGCAGCGTTGTGGGTAAGTAATACCAGCGTTTCTACCTTTGTGATGAGGTTGTTCCGGTCTATACGACCGCAAGTTATCGACACCCTGTCAGGCTCAGTAAGCAAAATACACGTAAGCTTTGATGGCTGGACAACAAAGGGTGGTAAACGTGGCTTCTTTGGAGTAGTCGCTCACTTTGCCGACGCAGCTGGAATAATACGAGACTTACCAATCGATCTGCCTGAGCTCGCTGGCGCCCACACCGGTGAGGCTATTGCCAAAGCTATCTCGACGACGCTCTCAGCATACGGAATAACAAGCGACCGATTAGGCTATTTTGTACTCGACAACGCTACCAACAACGACACTGCGATCGCCGCGCTCGCGCGCGAGTACGAATTTGAGTCCGCTCACCGGCGCCTCCGCTGCAGTTGTCACACGCTTAACCTCATCGGCCAGGCTATTATATTTGGCACCAACAAAGACGCCTACGGCAACACTCAAGAGCAGTACAATACCGAGGAGCAGTATATGCGAGAGTGGCGGAAAGATGGCCCTATTGGAGTGCTAGTTGATGTCATCAACTATATCAAAACGCCGCAACAGTACGAGCTTTTTCGTGGCTACCAGCGCCTTGCCAACAACAACCTGCCTGCTGAAGGGCGTCTCAAAGTACTCGAGCCAGTCAAGCCTGTCGTCACTCGCTGGAACTCATACTATGCTGCTTTTGAGCGCGCTACCAAGCTTCAAGCCGCGTATAACTTGTACGCTGAGCATCATATCAATAGGGTTATCCTTGAAGATGCGCACGCTGCGCAGCGGAATAATAAGCGGCCCGACGCCCCAAACTGGATGAGATCAACTGGGCTCCGAGCTGCTGACTGGGCGGTGATTGCAGAGTACCAGGACTGCTTAGAGCCGCTCAAGTACGCCACAAAACGCCTCGAGGGACGCTCTAAGGATGGCAAATACGGCGCAATCTATGAGGTTATACCCGTTTTTGAGTACGTACTCAGCAAGCTTGAGGCCCGGGCGCGCCCGTTCGAGCACGTCGACTTCAACGCTCATGCCGAGGCTCCAGAGGATCACCTCAACGTCAACCTCCGCGCCGCGTGGAGCAAAGCCAACGACTACTACAACAAGCTCGACGACTCGCCCGCTTACTACGCCGCTGTTTGCCTACACCCGTACTACAAGAACTACTGCGATGTGGCGTGGGCAGACAAAGCTGATTGGCTTACTAGTGCCAACGCGTCGTTCCAACAGCTTTGGGCGGCATACAAACCTCAACGAGCACGCCAGCGGTATACAACTGCGCCGAGTAGCAACAACATAGACGAGGCAATTATTGCTATACTTAGCCGCAACAATGACCGAGAGGCTCCACTTGACGAGTTTGAGCGCTGGAAAACACAAGAGCCGCAGTGGACGCAGGAGCAGTACAACGCAGATGGAAATCCTGTCCAATACTGGATACAACTACTGCCGAAATACCCGCATTTAGCGCAGTTTGCAATCGATATCATGACTATCCCAGCATCAAGCAGCGACTGTGAGCGCCTCTTCAGTGAGCTTGGCGACCTTCTTGAACCTAAACGACGTGCTCTGGGCAGTGAGCTACTCGCAGCTCTTCAATTAGTAAGGTCATGGGTGCGAGCTGGTTATAAACCGTACAACTGTAGCGAGGCTAAGCTTTCAGATGAGCAGCTTGTAGGAGATTACAACATACTAGAGTGGAACACTGAGTTTTGGTAATTTGTATGTAGCTTAATCTCTTTGTAGTAGTCAAGTAATCCAAGTACTTGCAAGTAATACAAGCAAGTCAAGCAAGTAAAAAAATCACCCCAAGCAAGTCAAGTAAAGCCTATGTTTGAACCAAGCAAGTCAAGTTTAGAGCGGTGACTTGCTTTACTTGCTTGTTGGAAAGTCTGATAACGTCATGTACATCCTTCCGTTCCTCCATGAAACCGTACGGTAGCGCCGACTGAATGCTATAGCCCCAACAACGTCGAATGCGTACCATTGTAACCAGGTACCAAGGTCCACAACCTGTCCCTGTAGATCTCTCATAACTTTTGAGAAGATTGTGGTGCATGGATCCACCAAGTATTCAAGACTTCGTATAGAAGTCATAGAATACTTTTGCATTACCGAGCGCTTCAGACTTTGATATTCCTGGGGGTTTGTAGTCAAAAACATATTGTCTACGAATTCATTATCGAAGTCACACTGGTAACATGGTATAGTCGACCTTACAGCGAGGCACCTCCCCAAAACTACCGCATCCAAAAGTCCTCAAATGATTACATTGACGCAGCAAATTTGTGATCGAAGAGAACCCCTAGACTGTTGTCGAAGACAAGCGTCCACAGGGGGTAGAATGAGGACTACATGAACGATTGTTAGCCTCTGCACTTTCGATTAAAGCCCCCGTCTTAAAAACTGAGCTTCCTAACCTTGTTAAACTTGCTGTTGATGCCATAGGTGCTTGCAATCCCTCTGGGATCCGAGATATCGATGACATTTGACGCCGTTCGAACGATCGCACCGTATTTCTTATGAAGTTCTCGATAAGACTCGTGGACATTTCCGTCACGTACGGATACAATGCGCCAGAAGCCGCTCAACTTTGCGACCCAGGGACCGGGTTTTTGACGCAAGTGTGGCTGATAAGCTTTGAGGACCGACTTCAGCAACTGATCCGCGATTGGGGCCAGGGAAACAGCAACGAGAAGTAGATATTCGCCTTGAAGCGTATTGTGTGTCATCTTGATTGGATATTGGCTGGTCCAGAACTAGGCTCAAAGATGGTAGAACTTTTTCCCCGATTGAAAGACAAACAATCGCTAAGTGTGCGATGAACAATGCCGTGGTGCGCCAACAAGCATTTGAATTATAAGACGATAGACGGGATAGTAGATATGTGCGGCAGTTTAATTGTAACACTTTCTTGATTAGGTCTCACCAATCGACGCACGACCCCTCTCAAGCAGACTTGCTATCAGTCAGGTAACTCAGTTCGAACTGACTGAACTGACTGCCAAGACTCAGTTCAGTCAGTCAGTTCTTGAGGCAGCTGGACGTCAGTCCAGTCAGTTCAGAAGCCTCCAGACTGACTGAACTGACTGACGTTAGACTGACGTTAGCTGTTTTTAAAGCAGTATTTTAGAGTTGTGAAAGCCACATTTAGTGCGGCTTCGAAGCCGCGCTAGTCCTAGATATAAAGACACTAATCCTATATAAGTTAAAGCATCTAGCTTTAAGCTAATTAGAGTTTGCGGAAATGCGCTACCCGGTGCGCACCTAGTAAGCCTTTCGCGTCGCGTCGCGTCGCGTCTGCTATACACACGACGCTAGACTACTGTTGCCATAATACTTCTTGGTGTACTTCATGTCTACTCCCTCTAATTCAGGCCTTCGCCGCCTTGTAGAATGCGACAAGCGCAATTCTCCTCTACCATCGCTATCAAACGCGCCTACTGTTGGCGATACTGCGAGCGAGGCCCAGGCTGATGAGCCCTTGGCAGTACAGGCGGACTTCCCCAACGACGGCGACGACGACGACGACGACAATTACGACGGGCTTGATTTTAAGCGTGTGCCGTATCTTGAGCGGCGCCAGGTTGAGCGTAATAGTCGCGGTGGGCCAAAAAGCTGGATCTACCGCCACGGCTGGGCCGTCTGGCACCGCAAGTACAAGAAAAACTACTGGCTTTGCCGGTACTGCCATCAACGACGGAAGCAGGAGGCTTGCTACGAGGCTGACAGCACTACAAACGCCGGCCGACACCTCTCAAGCAACAAGCCTGGACACTCACACGGACCTAACGGACCTGTACCAATTGCTAGCCGGGAGGGCAATATTATGGGCGCGCTCGCAAAGTCCCAAGTATATATTATGAGGTCTAAAGGGATAGAAGTATCGCAAGAGGTAGCAAACGAGATAGCAGCAAGCTTTTCAACCTCTCGATTTCAGGACGCGCTGAAGGACTGGGTAGTCGCGGACAACCAGAGCCTTCGCGTAATAGAAACGCCGCAGTTTCGAGCCATGATTGCGGCCGTGAGCCCGCTAGCCGAAGCTCTCCTTTGGCGTAGCCACTAAACGCTCCACGATCATATTATTACTGAGTACAATACATACATACTAGCTGTTGCCAACTACCTTCGCGAAGCCCGGTCGCTTATACACGTGTCATTCGACAACTGGACTTCAACTGGTGGGCAGTATGCTTTTACTGGCCTCTGCGTACATTACCTTAACAGCGAGGGCAAGCTAGTTGACCACCTGCTTGGGTTGCCTGAGCTACACGGGGCGCACACTGGCAATAATATTGCCGCTGCAGCAACAACAATACTTCGGCTATTTGGCGTTGACAACGCGAGGGTTGGGTACTTTGTGCTTGACAACGCAAGTAACAATGATACTGCAGTTGAGTCCTTAGCAGAGGAGTTTGGCTTTATCGCAAGCGAGCGGCGGCTGCGGTGCTGCTGCCATATACTCAACCTAAGCGCACAATTAGTAATTTGGGGCAAAGACCGTAGCGCGTACGAGAATGAAGCCGCACACCTTGAGGAAGAGGAGAAGTACATGGATGAGTGGCGCAAATACGGTCCTGTTGGCGTCCTCTTTGACGTGATTGCGTCTATCTGTACGCCTCAAACTCGACAACTACTAGAGCGCCTACAGTGCGAGGAGGCAGAGTCTCTAGGTGTTACACCCCACATCCGGCAGCTTGTGAAGCCTGTTAAGACACGCTGGAATAGCTATTTCAACACGTTTGTCCGTGCAGCTGAGCTACACGGCCCTATCGATGGCTATATT